AATATGTTCACCCGTTAATAGTCACACTTGTCATTGGATATGATTGCTAAGTGTACTTGAAATTAGTTTGCAGGGTTAAAAATTGCTCTAAATCGTAATAGTACAAAGGAAAAAGAAAGATGTCTTACGTGAGAATGTTAGCCAGCACCCTTAAACATAAGTATGTTTCGTTTATGTAATGTAACCAAACAAAAAATAAATACAAACAAAATACATGATAAATTTTACCAAAAAAAAAGTACATCATTAATAAGCATGTTTTTCTTGTGAAAATGAATACTAAACGATAAATTAATCTCTTAAAATCATGTGAACGTCGACAAATGTGTCTTTTCTTAGTTATTTTTAATCAATTTAACTAAAAATATCTTGTAAGATTTATTTGAAAATAATAAATAATTTGTCTTTATTATTAAATTAATTTTATTTGTTAAAATATTTTTTAATTAGTGAATTAATAAAAGAAATGAAAGTTTATAAATTAAAATACAATAGCATAAATAATTTAAATATCATTATAATAAAGATAAATTTTAGAAAGCTTATAAGAGATGTATTATTCTCTTAAATCAGTACTCCAGTAATAAAAAATATCTAATTTCAAAATAATATATAATATAATAAAGTTTTATTGTTATTATGAAATGACAAAAATAATTCATGTCAATAATATATAATTTGGTATATAAAAATTACTGGTTAATCTCTCTGTCTTTGTTAAAAAAATATCTATAAATATATACTTTGTTTTAAATTATTATAAAAATTTGTTAACTTTTAAATAAATATTAATTTATACCAATTAATATACTGAAAATGTGAAAAGACTATACTCCATGAACATTAATTGCTAGTGAACTTTTGTTGCAAAATAAAAAAAAAACACAAGATAACAAGAAAATAAATTATAAATAAATTATTATAATAAAGAAATTACTGTAAAAAATTTCTTTTACCTCAATTGAAAAAAAGGATTTTACTTTAGTTTCATAAGTGAAATAATGAAGAATGTTGTAAAAATTTATATTAGTCATTAATTTGACTCCCAACAATATTAATTTCATATTTTATTAAAAAGACATAACTTTTCCTTAAAATAATTTTTTTTATAATTTTAAATAAGAATAATTTTACATCATATTTGATTAAATCTACAGGTATCATTATGTTGAAAATTATTAAGTTACTTCATCATCATTCTTATGAATCTTGACGAAGAGTAAATATTAGAATTTGTTGCCTTTTCCCATATTTTAATATATTTACATTTCAATTTAAGTTCCATTTAGACGTTGCCCTACATCTTTTAGCTATTCCTTGGGTTCAATCAATAGTTACGGTTGCAAAGCTATGATTTGATTAGCTGAGTAGTAAAAGTTAAAGAGAAAAAGGAACTTCTCTATATTAGGGGTGTTCGCAGTTGTTTGGACGCTTTTTACGTAATAAATAATCCGAACTGAAAAAAACGTGCGATTTTGTTCAGTTGACTTTAAGAAACTAAATCAAATCAAACCAAAGCAGTTTAGTTCGGTTCGGTTGGTTCGATTTTTTTTTTTAATTTTTATTGAATCATACCTAAACATATAGATGACAACATAACTTTATATTTACTCATTCATACACTACAAAATAACCATAAAACTCATCATATTTGTACCATAATTTCCCATTTAATGTGTAAAAAATACTAGACAAAAATGGAATAATTATCATAAAACAATAGCATAAAAAAATTTCAAAAACATTATAATAAAGCAAAAGTTAGAGAAAATGGGAGATTAGTCGAGATGAAAAAGAAATAATAAACGAGAAAAAAAATTAGAGAAGAAGAGGTGTGCTAAAAACGAAATTGAAAGAGAGAACAATATCATTAAAATGAGAAGGTGAAAAATAAAGAATATAAGAAAGTAGAGGTTAAAGAAAAAGATGTAAAATGTATTTGGAGAAGAATGCAATATACTGCTAGGAGAGATTTGAGAAGACTGAAATTGAAATCTTAAGTGTGAGGAAGAGAAAATCGTTCGTAATCGTAAGACTTAAGCATAATAGATTTAAGTTTGGGTTGAATGTGAGTTAATTAAAATTCGAGTTATAATATAATGCAGTTTGACGGTTTGTTTTGGTTTGCAAAATACAAACTACAAACTGAACCAAACAGCGTGGTTTTGTTAAAATTAGTCCAAACACATCCGAACTAAATACAATTTTTTGCAATTTTGATTTTATTTGATTTGATTTGTGATTTACTATTAGATTAGTTCATTTTTGAATACCCTTACTTTCTAGGCACAAACTTTAATATTTTCAACGGTTAATAGTCACACTTGTCATTACACATAGTTGCTAAGTGTACTTGAAGTTAGTTTACGGAGTTAAAAACCCCTCTAAATTATAAAAGTACAAAGAATAAAGAAAGAAAGAAGTCTTACGTGAGAGATGCTAGTCAGCGCTCTTAAACATAAGTACGTTTCGTTTAAGTGAAGTAACAAAACCAAAAACAAGTTCAAACAAAGTACTTGATTAATTTTAATCAAAAAAAAGAATTTGGATTTTCTCATACTGTTTTGGTTCAGGTTCAGCTCTCTCTGTTTTTTCTAATCTACTAATTGAATGTAACACCATGAAGAAACTCTAATACAAAAGAGAAAGAAAAAATTAATCAATGTTTAAGATGAAAACATGACAAAAACATGAAAGAAAAAGCATGAATAGATCCAAATTCAAGAGAAAAGTACATGACTTATGAGCATGTTTTTCTTTTGAAATTGAATACTAAATGACAAATTAGTCACCTAAAATAATGTGAACTTCGTCAAATGTGTCTTTTTATTTATTTATATTTCATCAATAATTTATCTTTGATAATAAAATTAATATTATTTATTAAAATATTTTTTAATTAGTGAATTAATAAAATGAAAATAAAGTTAATAAATAAAATATAATAGTATAAATAATAAAATATCTTTATATAAAGATAAATTTTAGAAAACTTATAAGAGAAGTATCATTATCTTAAATCACTACTCCATTAATAAAAAAATATTTAATTTCAAAAATAATATATAATATATTAAAGTTTTATTGTTATTATGAAATGACAAAAATAAATATTAGTTAATATCAATAAATGTATTGAAAATGTGAAAAGACCATACACCATAAACATTAGTTTCTAGTGAATTTCGTTTGGAAAATAAAAATACACAAAATAACAAGAAAATAAGTTATAAGAAAATTATTTATAACAAAGAAACTACTGTAAAAAATTTATTTTCCCAACAAAATAAAGGGATTTTACTTTAATTCTATAAGTGAAATAACGAAGGATGTCATAAATTTTTTTATTAGTAGTAGATTCGATTCTAACAACACTAATTTCGTATTTTGTTGATAACACGTAACTTTTATTCTCAATGATATATATATATATATATATATATATATATATATATATATATATATATATATATATATATATATATATATATATATATATATATATATATATATATATATATATATATATATATATATATATATATATATATATATATATATATATATATATATATATATATATATATATATATATATATATCATTAAAATATAAATTTTCATAATTTTATAATATATTTATTTAAATCTATAAGTATCATTATGTTGAAAAAAATTGAGTTTCTTCATTATCATCCTTATGAATCTTAATGAAGAGCCAATGTTAGAATTTGTGGCATTTTTGTATATTTTATTATATTTACAATGATCTCGTATTTATTTGTTTCGGATATAAAATTAACAAATTTTAGATGATAAAAATAATGTATCATGTATAAAAACAATAGATTAGGTAAAGAACACAATCCTTGAATCAATATTATATATTTCTCTTGTAATCCATCACAAAAGACTCTTTTGACGTATGTTTTAATTTTCAATCATAATATTTTCACTATTAATGTTTGTGATTCACAACCTAACATCTAAGATATATACTATGGTTCTAAATGGATGATGTGAGAGTTTCACACGAATCATTGAATTCTCGTAGATTAATGTTTTAACAGTGTCTTGAGCGTTGATACTCAATAAATGGATGATAAAGATTTATTTAAAAATAAAAGTGTGACACTTTTTCCTCGGTTATTTTTGAACAACCGAAGTGAAAGATTATTTCTTTTATAAATAAAAAATAAAATAAAATAATAAAATTTCCCTTCAGTTTTCAGATTAATTGAGAGAATAAATTATTTCTATTACAAATACAGAAAAAATGGTGTATTGCTAAGTATATCATTTAAATTTTTTTACGATCATAATTTTTAGTATGATTAGGAATAGATTTCTTAATGTTATTAGCAAATAAAATAATAACAATGTCATTCCATGAGATGAATCACAAAAGTCGGTCAAAAAGTATTTTATTTAAGGTTAGTAAACAACAACCTTGAATGATTTCTAACTAATTACGAAACTTTAAATAATTTTATGTCTTACAATTTATCTAAAAGAATGATATTAGGTTAGGGTAAAACTTTATGAATGAAAGTTTTTATAAAAAAATTAATATTTTTTTCTCCCCATTATAAGGATAATTGAAAGAATAAATTACTTAATATTTAAATAAAAAATAAAACAAAAAAGAATGACACTATTAAAAAAATAAAACATAGGGTTTTGAAAGTATGAAAAATCAATTTGTACATAGAGGGTTTAAATTGAGATTGAGAAGTCTAATAATGGCCATGAAAATGAAATTTCCATGATTCAATGGTAAAGATTGAAAAGTTTCGTACGAAAATAAAAGCCTGAAATCTTGATGAATGAAACGCATTCTTCCCTGAAAAACCGAAAGATACAAACAAAACTTGGTGTTTGTTTCATAAATTAATTTGTCACCATTCTAGTCAAATGTCCGTTTTAAATTTGAATGCAAGTAAGTGCAAATTCACATCAACCAAATTCATCTTTTTACAAGCACCAAATCAGAAGCAAGGAAATGGATCTTAGCAACTTCATCGGAACTACTCCTGCTACGAGTGAGAAGCAGCACACTTCCAATTGTACCCAAACCATTGATTCCAATGAACTCTTAGAAAACATGCTTTGCATGGATATTAGTGAATTCGACTTCAGCCTCTTCGACATCCCATTACCACCTTCATCATTGCCGCCTATTGCTCCTATTCCTGCACCTGCACAGCCGCCAAAGCTTCTGAGCTTCTCTGAGGTATCTGATAATGTCAATTTGATAGGAAGGAATGGTGCCCTAGCTGCATGCCGTGGAAACGGCGGTGGAGCGAGTGTATTAGGCCCCCGCCGTGACAGCAACCGTTTTTGTTTTGGTAGCGGGTCCTCAGCACCACCGTCTTATTGGAAGAGAACAGTCATACCTCCGGAAAAGCTTGCGGAACTTGAAATTTCTGATCCCAGTAAAGCAAAGAGGTTTACAAAACTATAATATTGTTTTTATTTATTATTTTATTTATTTTTAATTATTATAATATTTTTTACTAATTTTTTAACAAATTTTTAGGCTAAAAAGATAGAACTAATTTTTAAATCCATTAATAGTCTCTTCACTTTAAGTGTTTAGGTTTGATAGTACAAAAATTGAATTCTTTGCAAAGATTTTGGATCAAGTTAGTATATTTGCGTGCATGAAAATTTGATTGTTTTCTCTTTTTTTTGTTTCAATTGTGATTTAATTTAATAAGAACAAACCAAATTATGTGATGTTAATGCTTGGACCATGTAGGATTATTTCTAATAGGGTTGCTGCGAAAAAATCTAAGGAGAAGAAAAGGAAATATGAGAAAGAGCTGGAAAAAAGAGTCGAGTTACTTCAGATTAGAGCCGATAATGTAATTGCAGAGCGTGTGATGGCGATGGTAAAAATCTAATCTTAATTTGTTTATAAAGATCTATATATATAATAGAATGTTTCTGAAATTGCTATAGTAATGGTTTGATTATACAAAATGTTACCGAAGAAAAAAGCAAGGAGTTAATTAAACAGAAACTAAATATAGTTCATAAAGTTGTAGGGTTTGTTAAAAGTATTAATATCTCATGTGATGCAGAATGAAGTTATGCAATTAGCTGCTGAGCGCAAGAGGATCAAAGACCAGATAGAGTCTACTTTACAGCATCAACAACAGCAAAGAGGTATTTCTTTCCCTAATCAATTCACATTCAATTTAATAATGGAAATAACTGTGTATCACTTTCATAAATTTAAAGAATTAATTTGTGATTATTATCTTTCTGATTATAAATATTGCAGCTGTGATTGAATTGATGAAGCAAGAAGCAGATATCCTTAAGAGGCAAATTCATGACATGAATAAAGCAATGGCTGATTTATCTTTTGGTGAACCGGTCTCTCAATCCCAGCCTCAGGTTCCTCATCAGCCAGAACTCTACATACCGCTGCAGGCGCCTCTAGCTCCTCCTCCACCATCTATCTTTGGCGAGCTTTCACTTCCTCCACCACCATCTTCCTGTGGCGAGCCTTTACGTCCTCCTCGACCATCTCCCTTTGGGGAGTTTTTGGTTCCTCCTCCGCCATCTCCCTTCGGTGTGCCTTTCAGTGATCAATTTATCGGCACCAGTTTTTCAAACTACAATCCATGGAACTAGTATATTTTGGGGTTGGGGTAATTATCTTCATAACATCTTTTGTGTATCGGCATATATATGTATGGGTGAAGCTTGTGAATGACATCTTTTCTGATGCACTTTGTTGGAGAATATTCGGAGCTTGAATAAGCTAAACATTAGAACTCCTAAGAGATTATGATATTAAATATTACTCCTTTAAATTATTAAGTTTATGAATGTATTTATTTTTTTTTTATATTTCTAATTGATTAGAAACTAATAGATCAGAGTTGAATTCTAACATAGTTAATCCATCTTTAGGTTACAATTGTTAACTATATAATCTTCTTTATTAACAACAAAAGGATTTTTATATTTAGAAAAATGATACAAGGAGTATTCTCACTATTTTTTTATAAGGAATGATATTATGGGAGTACAAGGAGTACTCTACCCTAATACAACGGAGTTAAAGTAAATTAAGAGATTTCAAAGGATCCTTACACCAGTTGTAGTAATTGATACACCTTTTAGATTTCAGACCCATTACATGCCAAGTCCATGCTATCGGTTTAATACTTTCTATGACTTCACCTACATTGAGAATTTCTCATTTGAAGAGGATACTATTCCTCTTGATTCAAATGCCCCAACAAGTTGCCAACCAGAATACATGAAATTGTGTTTTGGAACTCTTCCTTGCAATAGATTTGAGAACCACATGAAGTGTGCAACACCCTCCCTCGGATGGGTCACTTCCACATCAATCCAAGCTACCGTGTCCCAAATCAGCACGGAGAATGGACAAGTAAAGAACACATTGGAAAGATTCTCCTCTACATGAAAACAAAACACACAGACTTTATCTTCATCATAGTTGATTACTCCTCGTTTGGTTAGATGATCCATTGTTGGCATCTTATTCAAGAAACATCTCTATCTAAAGATGTTGATTTTTTTATGGAAATTAGGTCTGCCATAGTCTGTATGGCCTTCTTCGATTCTTCATCTTCAATACCCGTGACACTTAGCTGTGATATCTTCTTGTATTCAACCACTACGCTAAAAATAAGATTAGACAGCAAATCTAAGACAACGCTTCTTATCAAAAGTGCTGCTAAAGGTCCATTTTAAAAATACGGAAATTTGGTCGTATACCTTAGACAGCGCTTTCTAAAAAAGTGCTGCCTAAGGGGGTCAATATGGTTTGGTAAAGCGCTGCTAAAGGGGGTAGGTACTGAAGCTCTGCCTAAAGGGTGGGCTTACAAAGCGCTTTTTAGAAGCGCTGCCTAAAGGGTGGGCTTACAAAGCGCTTTTTAGAAGCGCTGCCTAAAGGGTGGGCTTACAAAGCGCTTTTTAGAAGCGCTGCCTAAAGGGTGGGCTTAAGCAGCGCTTTGTGAAAGCGCTGCCTAAAGGGGGGTGAATGTGGTTTTATAAAGCGCTGCTAAAGGGGGTAGGTACTGTAGCGCTTTGGAGAAGCGCTACCTAAAGGGTGGGCTTACGCAGCGCTTTGTAAAAGCGCTGCCTAAAGGGGGGATTAAGCAGCACTTTCTACTAGAAGCGCTGACTAAGGGTGGGCTTACACAACGCTTTTGAAAGCTCTGCCTAAAGTCCTGTTATAAAAAAAAGTAAAACACGCCCAGCAGTACTATTACACAATAACATTATTATTTTCAAAAATCCATTTTCACAAACCCAACACAGTTACGAACACGAACCCATTTTCGCGAAGTTTTTCATTTGATTCTAAACGAAAATTGTTTCATCCTTTTCAAGGTTCTCATCCTTCTTCCATTCAAGACCGTTTCATCCTTTCTTCCATTCACAACCAAGATTCTCTTCTCCTCTAGGTATGATTTTTGATATATTTGATAATGTTGATATATAATGTTGCATTTGGTTTAGTTGATATTGTTGATTTAGTATTGATTTAGTGTTGATAATGTTGCATTATGTTGTGTTTTGTGTGGCGTGTGGTTTTTGCATGTAAGGCGTTTGTGAAAATGTCACAATGAGTTTTGCATGTAACGTGTTTGTGTAAATGTCACAATAATTGAGCTATACATTTTGGTTTGAGAGGTTGTCGTAATAACACTTATAGTGTTGAAATTGAAAGCACTTCACATAGAGTTGAAATTGAAATTGAAAGAACTCATATAGTTGATGGTGTAAAGTTGATAATATAAGTGATTATTTGATGATAATGTAAAGTTGAAACGATAATATAAATATTAGTGATAATATAGAATAGAAACAATAATATATATTCTTGAAGGTGTATAAATATTAGTGATAATATAGATATAAATATTAGTGATGATTTTTGACGGCCATCGATAATATAAATATTCTTGATGAATGGTATAAATATTAGTGATTATTTAATGTTGTTTTATTAGTTTAATATTGTTTTATTAGTAAAATACATGTTAAAAAGAATATTAGTGATTATTTAATGGTGTATACATATATGTTTAATATTGTATAAATATTCTAATGTAATTCTTATTCTATAGATTTCTTTATTATAATAAAATTAATTGATCATTTATATAGGTTACTTGGGAAGAGTGGAGTTTCTGAGCGTTTCCAAGAATATTATACTGTGTGGTTTCAGAAGTTGTTGACTTCTCTACAGGTATTTAGTTATTCTTTTAATTTGCTATAGTTGCTTGAATAATTATAGTATTTTTATTTTCGATGAATATGCCTAATTGGTATTAAGCTTTTTAGTCTTTGTTCTTTTTTTAAGTATTGTTTTTGTTTAGCTTACTTAATAGTAAGACCATGGATAAAATGGATGTCTGCCAATCGGTTGTCCATAGAGTACGAGAATGAAGTATTGGAATTCGTTAAGTTTGCTATTGAACACGCCAATCGAATGAAATGTCATTACTTAAGTTGTTATTTTGTGGGTCGGGTTGACGCAGTTGGGCTGCAATCGCATTTATTGAGGCGTGGAATTGATCGAAGTTACACAAGTTGGATATTCCATGGTGAGAAAAGTTACGAGAATGTTGAACCGGGGGATAATACGACATATGCTTCAGACGACAATGACACAGATACATACGATTATGATCGAGTCGAAGAGATTGCAGAAGAATTTGAAGAAGATCTTTAGGATTGTTCCAAAATGTTTGAGAGGTTGGTAAGCGATGCAGAGAAACCGTTGTATAAAGGTTGCACTAAATTCACAAGACTGTCTGCGGTATTAAAGTTGTACAACTTAAAGGCGGGCAATGGATGGTCGGATAAAAGTTTCACAGAGTTATTAGCCATTATGAGAGATATGCTTCCAGAGGATAATGTTCTTCCTAATCGAACCTATGAGGCCAAAAAAATGTTGTGCTCTATTGGCATGAGCTATGATAAGATACACGCTTGTCAAAATGCTTGCATTTTGTTTTGAAACAAATATGCATCGTTAAATGAGTGCCATAAATGCGGTTTATCTCGATATAAGAAAAAAATGTCTCCAGCAAAAGTCTTTTGGTATTTTCCTATAATTCTGAGATTTAGACGCATGTTTCATAGTGAAACCGATGAAAGACACTTGACTTGGCATGAAGATGAAAGAATTATTGATGGAAAGTTTCGACATCCGAAAGATTCACCACAGTGGTTGAAAATTGATAATGATTATCCTGATTTTGGAGGAGAAGCAAGAAACATTCGCTTGACATTATCTACTGATGGAATGAACCCGCATAGTCTTCAAAGTATCTTACATACCACATGGTCTGTGATTATTATGATTTATAACCTACCTCCATGGTTATGTAGGAAGCGCAAGTACATGATGTTATCTATGTTAATTTCTGAACCTAAACAATCAGGGAATGACATAGACGTTTACTTGAAACCGTTAATCGAAGATTTAAAGACTTTGTGGGAGAACGGTGTGGAGGTTTATGATGGATATATGAAAGAAAGTTTCAATTTGAGGACGATGTTGTTTGGCACAATTAATGATTTTCCGGCAATATTGAAATCTATCAGGGTATAGCATTAAAGGTCAAAAAGCATGTTCTATTTGTGAAGAACACACAAATTGGAAGTGATTGAAATTTTGTCAAAAGAATGTATTTCTCGGTCATCGTAGATTCTTAAATTCTAATCATCACTACCGTGAGTGGAGAAAGGCATTCAATGGAAATCCAGAACATGATAGAGCTCTACCTACATTGACAGGTGACCAAGTTTTTGAAAAGGTGAAAGATATGAGTATCCAGTTTGGCAAGCCTTTTGCACATACGCTTGTCAAAGGTGGGTGGAAGAAGAGGTCAATTTTTTTTGAATTCACGTATTGGAAGTCGTTGTATGTAAGACATTTTCTTGATATTATGCATATTGAAAAAAAATGTATTTGAAAGTGTTATTGGTATGTGTGATACAGTGGGAGAACTGGCTTGAGGTTTTTGCGTTTGTGTTTGCAAATGTTGCGGTTAGCAAGAGTCGCCACCGACTTTTCTTTTATCCAATAAGGAAAGATGAAAAAGCACAGGAAAGACCTTTCGAGATGTTTTCTTGAGTTCGGGGGGTAGATTATGAAAAGGGAATGTATTAGCACTCTTTTCATCCATGATTTTCCATGGGCTCTTAGTTACTTGCTAGATCACTTGATTTTGTTTGAATGTGCTTGTGGTGTGATTTTTGAAAGTATTTTGAAAATGTAACTTTGTAATGATTCTCGTTTCTATAAGAACGCATACAAAGTGTTTGTTTCGAAAATAATTCAAAGATGTGTTTCTGAGATGTGTTTTTGAAAGTAATTTTGAAAAGGGTTTCCTTTGTAATGATTCTCGTCTCTATAAGAACGCATACAAAGTGTTGTCTTTTGAAAATGTTTCAAATGGAAGTGTGAGTGTATAAAATGTTTTTGTTGTGAGCAAGCGAGTAATTGAGAGAGAACCTACCTACTCAAAAAGGTGTTAGATGTGCTTTTCCTCTTTCTTTAGATGTTGCTATCTTACCATTGATTTGGTAAGAAGCCCCATCGTTGGATGTGAAGGGACGAGCGTTGGGTCATTGTATGA